GGGCCTTGGTGTTATCAGCACCGCACTCTCCCGAGTGAGCCACGGGCCGGCCCCTACTTTTCTGCATTTTAACAGTAAATATAATCAGTATATAATCAGAAATAACTGTTTTCATTGAGGAAAAAATTTGAATGATTCAATAACATTGGTAGAATGAAAATAATGTTTCTTAAGTCTTCCTAGCTAAAACATACAATACTAGAAGTTTGCATCATTCATGACTAAAAGAGGTTTTCACAATCGTCTTCAAAATGGAGACAGACCACAAAGTCCAAAATTAATAATCATCATAAATATTTTAAGCATCTTATAGGCAGGGCCTAAATCTAATTTTTAACACACTTTCCCAATGGCATAGAGCACTCAGAGTGCTCAATGGATCTTCATTAATTGACAAGCACATTTCAAATCTCATGAATTATTATATCAAAGATGCTATTATTTGATATACAAAGGCTATTAAAGAGTAAAAATCTCATCTAAAAAAGAAAATGAGAGGTAGAGCAGCTCCACTGAAAATAATTTAACTATGAAATTTAATCTGCCACAAAAGAAGTAATAAAACTCTAACAATAACAAAATTTTTCTTCCTGCTTTGGTCATATTAAAGGTATCCAGTTTTGTTACCTGCATTCCCATACTCTCATGACTCCATGTTATACACAGGCCCTGCTCACCACAATGACTATCCACTCAAGATCATTAACTTCTGTGTATTATTGTAGATACAAGAGTCCTGACATTAGCTACCAATCATCATCAGCAATCTCCAGTCCAGGCATGTCCTCAAAATTATAAACTGCCTGTTAAAACTCTGATGAAAATGTACAGTTGTTTGCAGAGAAGTGCAACTTTGTCTTTCTTCTGGGCCTGTCTTCTCTGCAGGGCAGTGAAAGCCCACGTGTGTAAGCTGCATGTGAGAGTTGCTCTATGAAGAGCCCTGGAATAGCCTTTCCAGGGAAAATGGGCACCAGGCACACACAGCGGGGGAGGGGAAGAGGAGAGGAGGTGGGGCAGAGGTTATTGCCCTTGGTCCCTGAGGCCAGACACACCCACCTGTCTGAGGGGCTGAACTGGTATTAGGTAACATGAAAACTAATTTTACATATCCCACCTTTTCAAATAAAATACTCACCTGGACTAACAAGTGGCCCGAATTAGGCAAACATGTACCACATTTCTTGGTGTTTTCATTTATCTGCTTTATCAAATTCATCAGTATTTCCAAAGCACCTTTGCTGATCATTTCACTGAGAAATCCTGGATTTCCAGAAATAAATTTTATAGTACCCATACAGTATAAAAAAGCTTCAATGTTAGTTTGCAAGTCTTCACTTCTCAGTACGTCCAATAATGAGTCTGTCAAAAAGATGAATTATTATAAATGAATGAGTATAACAGCTGGAGAGAAATATATTAAAGTGCTTGTATGCGAACATCAAATACAATTTGTAAACTATGTTTGTCAAAATCTACATTCAAATGCTTGTTAAGGATTACTCACATGGTATATAAAGAGAAAAACTTATTTTTAGTTAAGGCAAATCTTTATAATAGTTAATGACAGAAAAATGATGGGATTATTAATATATAAATAGAAAGTATTCTCTTAATTAACTGTTATTCTTTGCCTCTTATTATTATTGTTTACCAGCCTTTATTTTTAGTTACAAAATTCTGAGTTGTGTAGAATACTAATAATTTAAAGCAATTTAAGAGTTAGAGTTCCTCAAACCTTTAAGAATACATTTGTTACTGTATTAATGGGAAACTAATCAAGAGATAGGAGTTTTTTTTTTTAATTTCAATCAGCATAGAAAGGAATAGTTTCAGTATAACATCCACCCTTTCCTGTCAACTTCAGAACATTCATCCAGATAACATACAACTACTAGGTTTTATTTTATTTATTTATTTTTTTTTTTTTTTAAAGATGACAGGTAAGGGGATCTCAACCCTTGGCTTGGTGTTGTCAGTACCACGCTCAGCCAGTGAGTGCATCGGCCATCCCTATATAGGATCCGAACCCGTGGCCTTGGTGTTATCAGCACCGCACTCTACCGAGTGAGCCACGGGCCGGCCTAAACTACTAGGTTTTAGAAGTAATCCAGGCAATGCTGTTAAGGTTGATAGTGCACATCTCACATTTAATTTTATAAATGTCATCATTTTTCAGAATCTTTCTTTGTTTTCAGTCTACAATTCTCAATTAGCTGATTCAATGTTAGACATTTCTTTCAGTACTGGTTTTGTCCCTGTCTGCTGGGGTTAAAAAAAGATGAAGAGATCATTATCCTATCTTGCAAAAAGAGGACTCAAAGTATTTTACATTATGCTGCCTTCTCTGTATCAGCAATACTAATTCATAAAAGATTTCCATTTAGGTAACTACTTAAGCATCTTAATTACTTAGGGGTATGACAAGAATTAGGCATTATTAGCTAGGTAGTTAAAATGTAATACAACTTTTCTACCTACATATTTGAAACATTTTGATGTCAGATTTCTGGAAGAGTTATAGACATCTCAGTTTTTAGCCATTCCTATTATATCAAAAGACTAAAAATGTCAATTACATCAAATACATTTTTCTAATAACAAGTCCAAGTCCAGGAAATGAATTTTTTAAAAGGAAACACTTTGTAAAGTCAGATGTTACTATAGACACTGGGGAAAAAATAATAATAATAATAAGCAGACTATCCTACTAGGATCCAAAAGGAGGCATTAAACTGAATGTGAAAACACAGAGGACAGAGCAAAAGTAAGCATCACGCAACTTCTGCATTTTACTGGAATATATAATATTCCCACTGTCATTAACTATAAATTTAATCCCCAAACTTTTCACTTGTATTCAAGTGCAGCATTTGGTCAGTGGTAGCACTGAATAATACTCACCCAGAATGCTGTCGTTTCGAATCACAGAATCATACTTCTCACTCCTGCTAATTTTAAATATAAGTTTGCAGATATTAAGGAGATTCTTTCTACTTACTTTAAGCTGCAGAAAAAGAAAACACATTTCTATTGCAGAGGGAAATAAAGACGTACCATAACTTTTTAACACTAACATATATTTTAAAAGCAAATGCAGGCCGGTCGGTTAGCTCAGTTGGTTAGAGTGTGGTTCAATCCCTGTACCGGCCAGCAAGAATAAGTAAATAAATAAAAGTGAATGCTAAATTCAACTTGTATAACAACAACAAAGTACAACAATAGCATTTTAAAATAGTATTTTTAAACATAAGAAAAAGTTTTAAAGACACCACCTTTGAAAAGTTTAGCCATATATTTGCCAACTATGGTATCTATTAATTCAATTTTAGTAAATACAAGATAAATGCTCTTTAGAGTAAAAACAATTTAATGACAAGCATTTATTTCTTACTTCCTAAAGTCTCACATTTATATGTGAGATTATTAGTTACTCTTAAAAGAGTATATGAGGAAGAAAGGGGGCAGGACAACGTTAATAAATTTAATTATATGGAGCAATTGCTTTAAAACACAAAAGTAAAGGAAGATGGATACCAAAATTTCAGATCAAACTAATCTAGAAAACGATATATAGTGGAGGTGAAGGAAAGAAAATAAAAAGGAAAAGTATAATCCTCTTTACCATTTATATAAAAGAAAATTAAAAAGTAATACTGTTTTATTAGATAATACATATATTATTTTAAGGCTACTTCTACAATGCTTTGAGATAATCACAAGTAACACCCAAAGTTTAAAATTACCTTCTAAATCATATAAAAATATCTAAGTAAATTAAACATAGGGGCTATTGAGGAAGTACACTTTTAAAAAAAGCACAGTATAGGAAGACTAACTGAATGAAATGGTCTAAATTAGCTGAGTTTATCTAAAGGTAGTAAAAATAAAAATAAAAAATATCCTAGATGTCCAATATTAGAGAATAAATAGTTTAATAAATTGTGGAACATCAATAATATTCATATTAAGCAGTCACAAAAAAGTAAAATTGTGAACACTGTTTAAAAAGAAAAACTTAGACAGAAACACTGTGTGCCATCATTGCAACAGTGTAAAAATATGTTTACAGGAATGAGGTCATCTGAACAAATAAATGTTCCTGTGTGAAAAGAATGGCATATAGCTTGTTATTTTTTTATTAAAAACTATCTTTAAAATTATCTTTAAGATTATTTATTAATGAGTTTTCAGTTAGTTTTAAGAAAAGAATTTGTCAGACATATTTGTTAGGAATTCATTCTGTGTTCGATCCACACTTATTTACTGAGCACGTATTGTGTGCCAGGCACTGTGCTGTTCACTGCAGAAGATCCCAAGACAGATATGGTTAGCCCCATTGCAGGGGCAAAGGGAGAACCATCAATGAAGCAGCTTCTGTGTGCTCCTCCTGCCTTCTGCACTGGGCCCTTCACATCAGTTATCTCAGAGCAACCCTGCAAAGTCTCAGTCAGGTCACAGAACCCTCTGGGCATCACCTGGGCCTGTATTAGGAATGCAGAATCTCAGGCCCCACCCAACCCTACTGACCCAGAATCTGCATTTTAACAAGATCCCCAGGGATTCTAAAGTCTCAGTCAGGTCACAGAACCCTCTGGGCATCACCTGGGCCTGTATTAGGAATGCAGAACCTCAGGCCCCACCCAACCCTACTGACCCAGAATCTGCATTTTAACAAGATCCCCAGGGATTCATGTGCACATTGAAGTCTGAGAAGCACTGGTGTGGAAGCCTTGGAAACTGTTAACACATGGCAGAATGGAGATTCCTTTTGTTCTCAGGAGGAAAAAAGGAAATGAGAACTTAAATTTTTTTTTTCCTTTTTGTCTTTTTTACTGACCAGTAACGGGATCGCAACCTTCGGTGTCG